AAAAGGAAAGGTTAGGTCGGTGCCACTCAGTAAGTAAAGTGAAATATATATTTTTCAATGCGACAAAGACCTGGAGATATTCACAAGTCGATGATATGATTCCGATTATGTCTTAAGAAGTATGTAGAATATATTACCTTGGGTCTCCTTGCAGCATTACTTTGTGCAGATATGTATGTTGTTTGTTTGTTTGTTTGGTCCTTGCCCTTTTAGGAACAATTTAAATATTTTCACTTGACTCTTTCGCAGTGTTTGTTACAATCATATGTCCCTGTAAAGCTTTCAGAACGACATATGGATAAACATTTCACAGAAATGAGGTCCAGTTCAATTGCCTGGGTTGACTTTTTCCCATATATTTCAATGGGATTTTAAGATCAAAAGTTTACATGCCCTTGCATGTGTTTGTGACGGATGTCTGTCTCACAGTCCCTGAACCACATTATTCTCCCTTCCGCCGAGCCCTGCCTGCAATGCTAAAGGCCTAAATGGACCAATCTAGATTGTCTCAGGTTCTGAATTTCCCAACACACTGGTACTCCTTTTCAAAGTTAATGAAATTACTTATTTCTATTAAAATTACATATACTGAGAGAAACAAATAAAGGAACAGGGGGAAATTCAAGCGTCCTTTAATATTTTCCAGTTTTCATCACCAGCTTTGAATTGCGCTGTGGGAGGAAATCTGAGAATAAAGGAACACTGCCATGAAGTGGTGTTCCCTTATTTGTTTCCCTCAGTATATATTCAGAGACTAAACATAAGTGTAATTGGGTAGGATCATCTTTTTGGTCTACTCCCATTTGTGAGAACTCCCAATTGTGAGACTCCCAGTTATGAGACAGTGGACTAGGTAATTAACAAAGAAAAAACACCATACTCCCCTGTCTGATAGAATGGATTAACCCTAGCTAATTACTGATTTGCGATGTAAATGAATCGTGTGGAGGTAACTGAATGAAACTTACTTTATTTATATGTACTTAAAAATATATTTATGCAAAAGTCAACATCGATGACGTCACATCCTCCATTTCATTTTGTATTTTATGTTGCATGGGAGTGGTGTTAACATAAGCAGTAATGCTTGTTCACCAATCCCTATTCATTTTCATAAATGATAATAAAATATGTTTAAACCAAAATGACTTTCAAACTTCATAAAAGTGAATAAAAATGTGGTATCATAATTACTATTCTTCTGAATAAATAACATATTTAATAAACTATTTCTTCTGTGTAAATATAATCTTTGATAATCTATTTCATTAATGAACTATGCCTAGTGTGGGTACTCTTCAATAACTTGGCTGATCCCACTTTCATTGTAGGGATGTGGTAACACCACCTATGTGCACTGAACCATTAATTAATGTGTCTCACAAATGGGAGTTCTCACAAATGGGAGGACACCATCTTTTTTCATGCCAACTCATAAACACATGCGTATTACATAGTTGGAATCGAACACTGGTCTCAGTATTTCGTAGATATTTTGTCATGATTGTGGAATTACTGTGTGTTGCTTTTATTTTCTAAAGAATATAATTATCAATTATCTATAAATTGGTGTGCCATTCAACATATATGACAGTGACGTCATTCTGTTACCATGAGCAACAAATTGGCGTTTGGATATAGGGCGTCATACAGATGGAGTTATAAGTATCATTACCATGATGAATAATAACTGACTGACTGACTGAGTTTAGTTTTACGCCGCTTTTAGCAATATTCCAGCAATATCACGGCGGGGAACACCAGAAATGGGCTTAACACATTGTGCCCATGTGGGGAATCGAACTCGGGTCTTCGGCGTGACGAGCCAACGCTTTAACCACTAGGCTACCCCACCGCCCCTGATAAATAAGAAAGGCATGCATGGAAACATAAAGTTTTGTGAAGAAAGCCATTCAAAATAATGTGTGGCTGTAGTTCTTGGAATTTTTCGACATTTGTATATGTAATGTATATTATTCATATTTTGCTGAAATTATGGAGATTGGTTCAAGCAGAAACCATCCATTGTATGGTCTGTGGTTCAAGAAATATGTTCCTCCGTTTGAGGAACATGTGAAAACCCGTACATGGAATATGATCTCATCATTTATGGATGCATGGATATGGTTACCTTGGATATATCCATCTTATTCGTGGAATGTAAGGACATTCGTATATGATATTACCTATCTTATTCGTGGAAAGTATGGATATATAAGGGATATATCCTTCGTTATCATGGAATGTATAGATAATAGTTTATGGGATATATCAATCTTATATGTGTAATGTATGGATATATAAGGGATATATCCTTTGTTATCATGAATGTATAGATAATAGTTTATGGGATATATCAATCTTATATGTGGAATGTATGGATCTATAAGGGGTATATCCTTCTTTATCACGGAATATCAATCTTATATGTGGAATGTCTGGATATATAAGGGGTATATCGTTCTTTTTCAAGGAATGTAAAGATAATAATATATGGATATATCAATTTTATATGTGGAATGTCTGGATATATAAGGGGTATATCCTTCTTTATCATGGAATATCAATCTTATATGTGGAATGTCTGGATATATAAGGGGTATATCCTTCTTTTTCAAGGAATGTATAGATAATAATATATGGATATATCAATTTTATATGTGGAATGTATGGATTTATAAGGGGTATATCCTTCTTTATCATGGAATATCAATCTTATATGTGGAATGTCTGGATATATAAGGGGTTTATCCTTCTTTTTCAAGGAATGTATAGATAATAATATATGGATATATCAATTTTATATGTGGAATGTCTGGATATATAAGGGATATGTCCTTCTATTTCATGGAATGTATAGATAATAGTTTATGGGATATACCAATCTTATATGTGGAATGTCTGGATATATAGGGTATGTCCTTCTTCATGGAATGTATAGATAATAACATATGGATATATCAATTTTATATGTGGAATGTCTGGATATATAAGGGATATGTCCTTCTATTTCATGGAATGTATAGATAATAGTTTATGGGATATACCAATCTTATATGTGGAATGCCAGGATATATAAGTGGCATGTCCTTCTATTTCATGGAATGTATAGATAATAATATATGGATATATCAAATTTATATGTGGAATGTCTGGATATATAAGGGGTTTATCCTTCTTTTTCAAGGAATGTATAGATAATAGTATATGGATATATCAATTTTATATGTGGAATGTCTGGATATATAAGGGATATGTCCTTCTATTTCATGGAATGTATAGATAATAGTTTATGGGATATACCAATCTTATATGTGGAATGCCAGGATATATAAGTGGCATGTCCTTCTATTTCATGGAATGTATAGATAATAATATATGGATATATCAAATTTATATGTGGAATGTCTGGATATATAAGGGGTTTATCCTTCTTTTTCAAGGAATGTATAGATAATAGTATATGGATATATCAATTTTATATGTGGAATGTCTGGATATATAAGGGATATGTCCTTCTATTTCATGGAATGTATAGATAATAGTTTATGGGATATACCAATCTTATATGTGGAATGCCAGGATATATAAGTGGCATGTCCTTCTATTTCATGGAATGTATAGATAATAATATATGGATATATCAATTTTATATGTGGAATGTCTGGATTTATAAGGGGTATATCCTTCTTTATCATGGAATATCAATCTTATATGTGGAATGTCTGGATATATAAGGGGCTTATCCTTCTTTTTCAAGGAATGTATAGATAATAGTATATGGATATATCAATTTTATATGTGGAATGTCTGGATATATAAGGGATATGTCCTTCTATTTCATGGAATGTATAGATAATAGTTTATGGGATATACCAATCTTATATGTGGAATGTCAGGATATATAAGTGGCATGTCCTTCTATTTCATGGAATGAATAGATAATAGTTTATGGGATATGTCAATCTTATGTGGAATGTATCGATATATATGGTATGTATCCATGTTATTGTCTGGACATTGTTATACGGGTCTAGTTCAATGCATAGCTCAGACTTAAAACCGTCTTCGAGTTACGTGAATTCCGTGAATATGTAATGTAACGTGGATCAAATACATCTTTAGTTAGTAACGAAACGGACGACATATACGAAAACGAGTTGTTTGGTAATTGTAAAAATGTAGACAAGGTGATACGTTATTACATAACTAAAGGACTGTCTGTATGTGATATGTGAACTATTCTATTGTGACTAATGCAATATATGATATGCCTCATATCATAGATGTATTTGATGCAATATCTTACATGAATTAGCACATAATATTTTACGCTGCATTTACGCCGAAGCAATATTTCAGCTTTAACACACATATAGTTAAGTTTTGACATTACTCACAGCGAACAGCTGCAAAATTGCTGATACGCTATGAAGCAATATTCACTCACTTACGCACTCACTCACTCAGCTTTATCTCATTATAACCAACTTATTCCCGTTGACTCATTTGGGAAAATATATTTACAAATATAAATTATTGTGTAGGGGAATGATTTAAATTTTCTGTTACGGATGGCATGAAATGCGTATATTGCGACTCGATCATACCGATATTATTCATGCATACTTGAACACGTTTCCTGAATACATTAATTATTTTTCCTGAAAATTATATTTTGGGGATGTAGTTTGCAGAGCAATGGAAGCCAAAGATGATATATTAATTTCCCTGATTGATGTTCTTGAAATGGATGTTAAAATGATATTTTGGGGATGTAGTTTGCAGAGCAATGGAGGCCAAAGATGATATATTAATTTCCCAGATTGATGTTCTTGAAATGTATGTTATAAAGCGCATTAAACTGAATGAAGAGCTTCTTTAATTATGTGTTCTTTGTATTGATCAAACGACGTTTCCGCTTTTGTGGCACGTCTCTGTAAGCTGAATTATCCCTGGGTTTCTAAATAAGTATATAATTATGGTTGTGTTTGTTTCAGAGTGTCGTCGTTGGTTTGAACGACGCGTCCTTCGTCCTTGAGCAAGGTAAGACAGTGAAGAGAATAGCTGTCTATTTATATCATAAAGTTAACTTGAATCTTTCTTTGTGTATTTCGAACTGAGTGAGTGAGTGAATGAATGGAAAACTATAATCTCGAGTAGGACAGGATGGATGAGTGAGTGAGGGACAAAGACGGTGTGATGGACAGATTTTCTGAGGGATGGACAGACGGATTTACTGTGTGAGTGAATGAATGAGTCGTTTAGCCAGCAAAACGGACGGAAACAGAATAAGGAAGAGTGAGTGAGTATGGTTTTACGCCGCTTTTAGCAATATTCCAGCAATATCACTGCGGGGACACCAGACTGACTGAGTATGGTTTAACGCCGTTTTTTAGCAATAATGACTCAATATTACGGCGGGGACGCCAGAAATGGGCTGCACACATTGTACCCATGTGGGGAATCGAACACGGGTCTTCGGCGTGACGAGCGAACGCTTTAACCACTAGGCTACCCCACCGCCGCGAATGAAGAAGGTAAATGAAAGTGAGAGAGAGGTAGAGAGAGAGAGAGAGAGAGAGAGAGAGAGAGAGAGAGAGAGAGAGAGAGAGAGAGAGAGAGAGAGAGAGAGAGAGAGAGAGAGAGAGAGAGAGAGAGAGAGAGAGAGAGAGAGAGAGAGAGAGAGAGAGAGAGAGAGAGTAACATACGGTTAGTGGTGGAATGAGTAAGTGCTTGTGAGACGAGAGGGGGGAGTGACCAAAAGAAGGGGTCACTGGGTGACAGACGAAGTTAGCAAGCGAGGCTGAGTGAGTGAGGTATTGAGACTGAATGAGTTATACCAAAGGCAAACCGAAATACGCTTGACCATGGTAACGGATCCTGCATAAATTGTCCCTGACTTGGTTCCATCTAGGAGTCACAGAACATGATAAAGAAGCATATTTGACAGGACGAGAAAAACACAACCATTGCCAATCATGGCACTGTACAGAATACGCAGCCATCACCAACCATAGAACTGTACGGAATACGTTTGTCAGAAGTTAAGTGTGTACGGCTAATCATGGATAGACAGTTTGGTTTGTACGGTGACCACTCTGAGGCTGTAATCTGCAACGGGTACACACAGTGGCGGAACCAGAGGGGGGATCAGGGGGGTTCAGAAACACACACACACACACACACACACACACACTTTTGAAAATTTCTGGATCCGCCTATGCACACAGAGCACCTGCAGTTAGTCTTGATGAGAGAATCTACTTCCCTTCCGTAACCGAAATATACGCAGGTCTTGACTTCCGTAACCGAAATATACGCATGTCTTACCTTCCGTAACAGATATATACACCTTTCTTGCCTCCGTAACAGAATTAAACACCTTTCTTATCTTCCGTAACAGAAATATACACCTTCTTGTCTTCCTAAACAGAAATATACACCTTTTTTGCCTCCGTAACAGAAATAAACACCTTTCTTATCTTCCGTAACAGAATTATACACCTTTCTTGCCTTTCTTAACAAAATGAAACACCTCTCTTACTTCTGTAACAGAAATATACACCTTTCTTACCTGCCTTAACAGAAATATACACAATTCTTGCCTTCCGTAACAGAAATATACACCATTCCTACTTTCCGTAACAGAAATATACACCTTTCCTACCTTCCGTAACAGAAATAAACACCTTTATTACCTTCCGTAACAGAAATATACACCTTTCTTACCTGCCTTAACAGAAATATACACCATTCTTGCCTTCCGTAACAGAAATATACACCATTCCTACTTTCCGTAACAGAAATATACACCTTTCTAACAAAGGTAAACACCCTTCCGTAACAGAAATATACACCATTCCTACCTTCCGTAACAGAAATATACACCTTTCTTGCCTTCCGTAACAGAAATATACACCATTCCTACCTTCCGTAACAGAAATATACACCTTTTTTGCCTTCCGTAACAGAAATATACACCATTTTTGCCTTCCGTAACAGAAATATACACCATTCCTACCTTCCGTAACAGAAATATACACATTTCTTACCTTCCGTAACAGAAATATACACCATTCCTACCTTCCGTAACAGAAATATACACCATTCCTACCTTCCGTAACAGAAACATACACTTTTTTTGCCTTCCGTAACAGAAATGTACACCTTCTTGATTTCCGTAACAGAAGTATACACCTTTCTTGCCTTCCGTAACAGAAATATACACCTTTTTTACCTTTCGTAACAGAAATATACACCTTTCTTGCCTTCCGTATCAGAAATAAACACCTTTATTACCTTCCGTAACAGAATTATACGCCTTTCTTGCCTTTCTTAACAAAATGAAACACCTCTCTTACTTCTGTAACAGAAATATACACCTTTCTTACCTGCCGTAACAGAAATATACACCATTCTTGCCTTCCGTAACAGAAATATACACCATTCCTACCTTCCGTAACAGAAATATACACCATTCTTGCCTTCCGTAACAGAAATATACACCATTCCTACCTTCCGTAACAGAAACATACACCTTTTTTGCCTTCCGTAACAGAAATACACCATTTTTACCTTCCGTAACAGAAATATACACCTTTCTTGCCTTCCGTAACAGAAATATACACCTTTTTTACCTTTCGTAACAGAAATATACACCTTTCTTGCCTTCCGTATCAGAAATATACACCTTTATTGCCTTCCGTAACAGAAATATACACCTTTCTTTTGCCTTCCGTAACAAATATACACCTCCTACCTTCTGTAACAGAAATATACACCTTTCTTGCCTTCCGTAACAGAAATATACATCATTCTTGCCTTCCGTAACAGAAATATACACCATTCCTACTTTCCGTAACAGAAATATACACCATTCCTACCTTCCGTAACAGAAATATACACCATTCCTACCTTCCGTAACAGAAACATACACTTTTTTTGCCTTCCGTAACAGAAATATACACCATTCCTACCTTCCGTAACAGAAATATACACCATTCCTACCTTCCGTAACAGAAATATACACCATTTTTGCCTTCCGTAACAGAAATATACACCATTCCTACCTTCCGTAACAGAAATATACACCTTTCTTGCCTTCCGTAACAGAAATATACACCTTTTTTACCTTTCGTAACAGAAATATACACCTTTCTTGCCTTCCGTAACAGAAATAAACACCTTTATTACCTTCCGTAACAGAATTATACACCTTTCTTGCCTTCCGTAACAAAATGAAACACCATTCCTACCTTCCGTAACAGAAATATACACCTTTCTTACCTTCCGTAACAGAAATATACACCTTTCTTGCCTTCCGTAACAGAAATATACACCATTCCTACCTTCCGTAACAGAAATATACACCTTTTTTGCCTTCCGTAACAGAAATATACACCATTCCTACCTTCCGTAACAGAAATATACACCATTCTTGCCTTCCGTAACAGAAATATGCCTTCCATTCTTACCTTCCGTAACAGAAATATACACCATTCCTACCTTCCGTAACAGAAATATACACCTTTCTTACCTTCCGTAACAGAAATATACACCATTCCTACCTTCCGTAACAGAAATATACCATTCCACCTTCCAACAGAAATATTCACCATTCTTACCTTCGTAACAGAAATATACACACTTTCTTGCCTTCGTAACAGAAATATACACCATTCCTGCCTTCCGTAACAGAAATATACACCTTTATTACCTTCCGTAACAGAATTATACGCCTTTCTTGCCTTTCTTAACAAAATGAAACACCTCTCTTACTTCTGTAACAGAAATATACACCTTTCTTACCTGCCGTAACAGAAATATACACCATTCTTGCCTTCCGTAACAGAAATATACACCATTCCTACCTTCCGTAACAGAAATATACACCATTCTTGCCTTCCGTAACAGAAATATACACCATTCCTACCTTCCGTAACAGAAATATACACCATTCCTACCTTCCGTAACAGAAATATACACCATTCCTACCTTCCGTAACAGAAACATACACTTTTTTTGCCTTCCGTAACAGAAATGTACACCTTTTTGATTTCCGTAACAGAAGTATACACCTTTCTTGCCTTCCGTAACAGAAATATACACCTTTTTTACCTTCCGTAACAGAAATATACACCTTCTTGCCTTCCGTAACAGCAATATACCAATGTCTTGTCTTACGTAACAGAAATATACACCTTTCTTACCTTTCTTAACAAAACGATACACCTTTTTTGTCTTTCGTAACAGAAATAGACGCAACTCTTCCCAAAACGCTATATACACATTTCTTGCCGACAATAACAGCTGTATATACCCCATATATCATTAATTCTGATATTAATCAACCTTATATATCATCAAGTCTCATGTCAATCAACCTTATACAGAATCACGTTCGACATCACGTATCACACATGACCATGTGAAATATATGTCCAACAGCATTAAACATCAGGTCCGATATCATTGACAATATATATCACGATGGCAATATATATCACGGTGGCAATATATCACGATGGCAATATATATCACGGTGACAATATATATCACGATGGCAATATATATCGCGATGACATTACATATCACGGTGACAATATATTATATATCACGGTGACAATATGTATCACGGTGACAATATGTATCACAATGACAATATATATCACGGTGACAATATGTATCACGATGACAATATATATCACGGTGACAATATGTATCACGATGACAATATATATCACGGTGACAATATGTATCACAGGGTGACAATGTGTATCACGATGGCAATATGTATCACGATGACAATATATATCACGGTGACAATATGTATCACGGTGACAATATGTATCACAGTGACAATATGTATCACAGTGACAATATATATCACGATGACAATATATATCACGGTGACAATATGTATCACGATGACAATATGTATCACAGTGACAATATGTATCACGATGACAATATATATCACGATGACAATATGTATCACGATGACAATATGTATCACGATGACAATATGTATCACGATGACAATA